TTAAAATTATTTTCATAGTTAGAATTATTTTAGTAAAATTATTTTGTCTTACTTGCATTGTTTGACTATTGCATTTAAAAAGATTTCAATCAAGTAAAAAAAATTTATCGAAATTTATCCTCTACTTTTAAAAAATATAATACCAAATATGTGTTTTGGCGAAGGCTATTTCAATGGAAATTTTTTGCTACTTTAGTTTACTTTATAATTTCTAATCTTTAGAATTTCAAGTTTTGATTTAAATATATCATCCTTCATTACTTCGTTCCATTCAATGCCTATTGAGGACCACGTTCAAAATCGATAGCTTGAATAATGTTTTTAATTTTATAATAATTTTTGATTAATAAAGATAACTAACTATTAATTAAAATAAATATAATTAATTTTTTTTCTCAGGATTTTACTCAGGATCACCCACCCAGTAAAAAATTTTTACCTCTTTAAAAATAAAAAATACTCCCCATCATCCCCTCCTCCCCATCATCCTCGAACCTAGCTGACATAACTTATTTCATTATTTTTATTTAAATACCATCATGATGTTCTTCGAGTTGAACATTTAAATCAGGCAATTCAGCTCGATTTTGTTGATGAATGATGTTATCTAAATTTTCCAGATTATTATACCTGTAAAGTTTTATTTATAAAATTGATATCAATACAAATATTATATAAATAATAGACAATTCTTAAGACTATCCACACCTCAAAAAACACAGTTATCACCAATTTCGAGCTATCACCCATGATCAATCTTCTGTTCTCACTCAAGTTTTGATTATTGTACATTTTACAAAGCTTAAGAGATTTCAAAATTTTAGCCTAAATGTATCTGACCAAACTACACGTTGTAAGGCATATACTATTTAATTCCTAAGGCCGTGGACACATCAATTCGGTCTACTAAAGATGCTAGTTCGTATTAAGCCGCCGATTAACTTTTGCACTAGCTAAAGGAGAGAAATAGCTATAGAACAGCTGCTTTATTTATTCTTCGCTTTTTCATCAGATTCTGTTTTTTAGTGATTAGAATTTCTATTACCTTGTTGAGGAGCCATATGATATGATTCCAAAATATGAAACCCTTAATAAAATTATTAGTTTAGATATATCAAAATATGTAGAAAACATTTAATGAGCCTTAAATAATTTATTTTTGGTTAATTGGATTTACAAAAAATTATTGTAAAAAGATTATTTTAAAAATAAATATACTTATATAGTTAAGTAAACCAACCTTCGTTTGTAGCGATATGGCCTCTACTATCTCGGCCTGCACCTCCATTTTGTCGAGAGACACCTCTGTTAGCAATGCTTTCTTCATGTCCATATCCGAAAGTTTGCTCTCCTCTAATTTTTTCATCAGAATCTGTTTCTTCACCATCAGAATTGTAAAACTGATAATTGCTTGTATCCGAAATTTTAACACCTTTATAATGTTATATTTGAACAAATAGATATAAAAAATATATCCTATCAAAAAAATATACGTTAATATATCAGTAATCATTTACCTTTCTTAAATCTGGCATATCCTTTTCTGATTCCAATATTTTTATTCTTATTTCCAGTTGTCATATTTCCTTCCATTTGATTGTAATGCACTTTTATAACTTTATTATGTCCAACAAGTCCAACGATACTATTTTTGTGCATCTCAGATTCTTTAAATTATTTAAATATTTTATTTAAGAAAAGAATTTGATAAATGAAAATATGTGTAGAATATTTTATTATTTTAAAATATAAAATATTCTATTTTACGAGAACACTAGATTAGTAAAAGATAGTATATGGATTAACAAAAGACTTAAGAAAGTTTTTGACTAAATATGAAAAACTTCATTCAGTGATAGTGAAAACGATTTGAGAATCTGTAGAATTATAATAAAAATTTTCGTTAACATTGTGCAAGTAATGCCAAAAAGAAAGTAACAAACTTGCTTAAACCTGTAGAAAAATTATAAAATAATTGTGTCTCATCTTATAAAACAATACATAATTTAACATACCATCTAAAAAGAATTCTTCTTTAAGACTTTCATTTTGAAGTTTTAATAAATCCTGCCGAGCCCTCTCAAAATTTCCCCTTTCTTCGCGAACTTTCAAATCTAAGAAAGCTTTACGTTTTTCTATTTTTTCTTTTTTTAAATATTTAGTTGATTCGCCTTTAATATTAGACTTATCAACATTTTTCATTTCATCATTCATGCATTTTGACAATTCGAAAAATATGCAAATAAAAAATAGAAAGATAGCAAATTTTGACATGTTCATCCTTTATTTAAGAAATAAAAGATATCTTTAATTTTATCCAGATAATTTAAAACAAGCTTCGTCTTTTATAATAAAATTACGCGAGATTTATATAATCGAAAATCGTTACGACGATTTTAAAAAATTATCGCTGCAGAGTATAAAGTAAAAACACAGTATAAAATAAAAAAGTATAAACTACTAAGGCTTATTTCGATCTCTACAGAAATAAGATACATTTTTTAATGAACTTTTGAATAATTTCTCAACAAAAAAATGCATTACAATGATATTTGGACTTCTCAACTCAATAGATTTAATCCTTTGGACTATTCTGTTCGTTCATTTTATGAGCAAAAGATTGGGCGCAAAAGATAAAAAAATTTTTGAATCTGAAAAATTAATTAAAGCGTCCTGGGAGCAAATTAGAGTGATGCTGAATGTGCGACCATCGTAGGCTTTTTCCTGAAGCGCTTAGATGCTTATATCTCCGCAATTGGGTAAAACTTGAAATTTTTTATAATTTTCTAGTAACACACATTCACTTGTTTGTATGTGTGAATTTACTTGGCAAAATTCTACTTGATTAAATTTTTATCCAAAAAAAGGTGTGGGCAAAGACTTTTTACGCACCCTGTAGTTAACATACGGAATTCGGAGAAACATCTCAGATATAACATATGTTTTTAAGATTATTATTTGAAATAAACAATTTAAATGTAATAAAATTTTTGAAGAAATGATTATTGAAAATCAAATAGCTATTATTTGCCCTATCTCTCATAAAAAAATTTTTTACCGCATTCAAAAATATTAATTACTCCCCATCATCACCTCTCCACTCATCCACTCCTCCCCTCAAAATTTTATTAAGCGCTTATAGAGAAGCATGTATTTCGACATATGCGAGCGTTAATTAGAGACTCTCGTTTAAATACATGAGCGCGTTTCTTGGCGGCATATATTCATCCTACATAAAGTTTTGAATAAACAAGAGGACTACAACTTATTTTAATCAATCAAGTCTGAAAATTTTTTAACATTTTTTAGAGAATCCACAATGACGAACTCGTTTTTAAGTTTTTTTAAATGGAGGTGGAGGATTTTTGGAGGATTTTTGCAAAATGGAGGATTTTTGCCACATTTTTGAGTGGCTGCGCTCTATTTTATTGTTTTGGAGAGAACAACCCTGATGGACAGTGTTAATAAATAATAAAAACATGCTTAAACAAAACTTTTATAAACTTTAAACTATTTCTTTATTACTATCTAAACTCTTATGGAGGATTCTTTTTTTCTAAATAAAAATTTATAAGGATGATGCAATATTCTATCCAATCCATAACATATAGCAAGACTCAATGCCCTCTCAAGCTTTCGCAATGCCTTAAGATTTATTAAAAGGGCAATGTCCTTATTTTTGTATCCATTTACAAAGAACCAGGCCAAAATAAGTTGTACAAACTACAAATAAAGAAAAATCGTTATTTCGAAAACAGTTAAGTCTGATTAAACAAACGAGATTTCAAAATATATTTCAAAATTTATATTTAGATTTTTTGCTTGTATATTATAAGTCTTGGAATTTTTTTAGATTTTCTGGCATGTCTGGTGAGTTCGGCAGAAGTAATTCTGGCAGTGAGTGATTTGGGAACCAAACATTTAAAAAAATATTTCCCTCAAATTAAGTTGAATAACAATAGTAAATAAATTATAGAAAGTACTAAATTATATTTTTTAAAACGAATATTTATAAAAAATGTCAACAAATAAAATAAATGCAGAAAGATAGTAGATTTCAATTTAAAGAACATAAATATTTTATTATCGGCCCACTTTTTCATGTTGATTATCCTTGTTGTTGAAAATATTGCTTTATTCCTTGAAAAATAATAAATATCTCAAATCGTCTTCCTTTTTCTAGAATTCGATTCAAGGCCGAACCCTTATATGTGGTTTCGGTCATAATATTTGTGAAAAATCATAATATTCTTTCTGCAAGTGATTTAGGATTCAAGATTTTTTATTTATCCTTATTAACTACCTTTTATGTAACGATCTATTTTCATCTACTTTCATTAGATCTACTTTTAACTATCTACTTTCATCTACTTTCATCATTTTTCATCATCTACTTTCATCTACTTTCATCATCAAAACCTTTTTTGCCGCGTAGTTCTTTTTAAGAATAGCGGCCCCAAGTTCAGTCCGGTTACGTTTCCTGATCTAGCTGATTTATATTGCTCCATGCCGTTAAGCTAAAAGCACAAACAAGAAATATTTTGTTTAACTTTAAACTATTTCAAAAAATTTCGAAAATTAAAATACAATACGAAAAAATAACCCTGCCTGTAATGCCTGTTAAACAGCGGGGAATTTTATTTGTGAAGCTAATTTCGAAATAAAAATAAATTTCGAACTTGAATTAAAGTTCAGATTTATTATAGCAAAATTTGGCTGACAATTTAATAAAAACGCACGCAATCTTGTCTTTAAAAGGGCAGTCGTTACATATTAATTCATAATTAACAATTTTTATTTTTACTTTTTAAATTTACTCTAATAGTAAGACTGATGTAAAAGTTTAGACTTCCGATCCTTGGATCTCTTTCAATTATATCATTGCGCATCTTCGTTACAAAATTTTTTTATTCTTTAAAATAAATTTTAATTAAAAATTTCAAAGCATGAAAATATCAAAGTTAGCAATTCTTCTATTTTTAATGTTCATATTAATCGAGATGCTGGAATGTGGTGGTAAAGACAAGGATAAAGATGTGAGTGATTCTTCTGGAAAAGAAGAGGAAACAGGTACTACAGGCCAGAGAGGAAATGGCCGGAGAGTCCGTGGACAGAGCCATCAAACTCGCACTGGATCAAGCCATCGTTCTACAATCCAAAATCAAACAGTGAATCCTAATGATCGTCGCATGGTAATGCTTAGTTACAAACATCAAATGCATCAAATAAAAAAGTTACGAAATGATTGGGGAAAACTGTGTAAAGCTCAACATAAAATTCACAAAAATCAAAAATATATTAAGAAGAAAATGTTAAAGCTTAATAATTTAACAAATCAGTGCAAACATGATAGTGAAAATATGTTAAAATCAAGCGAACAGACCTGGAAGAATTTGAAAGAAATTTTTGAGCGTAAGGAAATTTTTTAATGAGAAACTAGCATAAGATAAAAAAGAGGGTTTTATAAAAATAAAAATTTATCTAAGAAATTAAAATTTATTAATAAATTTTTAAACCGAGGCCCATTACGATTGAGCATGAAAGCTTTAATGAAGCGACACTCAATGTGTTTTAGTGTTAGTTAACGTTCTACTTTTGTGTATATGCCAATAAACTTAAGTAAAACCCGGATATTAAGGGTAATGAAGTTTTTTTCTTAAGGACAATTTAGACCTATCTAAGAAGGTCTAGGCATAATTTAAAAATAGACATAATTACAACAAACAAGATTTCATTATAATATAACTAAAATTTTAGTTTCAAATCAAGCTGATGAGAAACTTACAATGCCAAAACGTGTAAAGGAAGAGACATTGACTATTCGAGACTCTCAAGATGCCCAAAAGTTCAAACCAGAACATGTTGAAGGAAAAGGAAAGGAAATCGCACGTAAGTGTAGGCAAATAATATTTCTTTGTTGCTTAGAATGGATGGGACCTTCTAGCTTAGCGGATGGGACCTTCTAGTGATTGAATGGGACCTTCTTATGATTTGGCGAAGGAAGGAAGAAACGCTCCACTTATTTTGAAAATCTAATCACAATTTTTAATACCCTTAAAATTCTAATTTTTAATCTAAATCCACTTTACTAAGCCTATGAGGATCATGTCTATTTAAAAAAGACAAAGTCATTATATAAAAAAACTTTTAATATAAAGCAAAGATTGGAAACACAAGTCAATTTTTGAAGGACTTCCACCTGCTCAGATGCCTTCATCTAGTCAATTTGCTTATATGCAACGTCCATATGGATATGATTTTCGTCCATGTATCTTTTTTTATATTTTCCCGTTAAATAAGAATGATAAAATAAGATACAGCCTAATTAGTGATGCAATTGTAAAAGTAACTAAGTCTTTAGAAAGTTGATAGGATAAGTAATTACTCCTAAACTCTCCTGACTTTAGGGAATGCTGTTCTAATTTGTTTACAATTATATGATTAATTTAGATTTTCATGCTGAATCATCTGGAATGCAGTCGAATCCCGGTTTATTTTTATGAATGATTTTATGTATAAAATTTTATAAATTCAAGGAAGCGCCCAAACTGATGTCGGGGATGATATTAAACAAGAAGAAACTGAATCCCAAGATGATGATGACGAATCAGACTAAAAGGAATTGAAGAAAGAGATGCTAACAAAAAATGATTTGATATAAATGATTACAAGTTATTATATAACGTTTTTTTTATTTATTTTTAGATTATTTAAATTTCGAGCATAAAGATTTTCAATTTATATTTATTTGATTATGTAAAAAATTATTATTGAAATGAATCATTTTGGTTTCAGTTTTCTATGATGGCATGTGTGCTATTTTTAATAGCCTCATTAATTGGGCTTTTATCAGGGCAAGGCTTCTGGAGACTGGCTACTTTTGGAACAGTTAGATATTTGTAAATTATCCTTCATTTCTTTAATTTAAAGATCAGAAAAAGCAAACGATTCTAAACGAATTTAATCCTGGATTGAATATTCCATTTGCTGATAATTTGTTTCCTAATGGGCAAACTGGACATCATTTACGTTCAGGTAATTTAATTTATAAATTTTATTAAACGGATGTGCGGCAAACTTTTAAAGTGGCCAAAACAAAAAAATATAGTTCTTTCATTTTATGCATGAAAGAACTTGGTCGGTAAATACTAATAATTATTTTGTTATTTTTTGGGTGTTGAGAGGTATTATAAATTTTCGAGAGTATTATTTTTAGACAGTTACTATGGCCAAAAGAGCAGTGATCAAACATTTGATGGTAAAAAATAAGGATCGAGAGAGGATGATTCTAGAAGAATGATATATTTGAAAACAAAATATTTAGAAATTGAGAAAAAAATTAAAAATTCATAAAACAATAAACGTATAAGTTTTATAAAACTAGCTTGCGTTTATAAAAATTATCGCATTAAGATATTTATTTTTGGTAAACACCGGATTTTTAGTATTATTAACTTTTTTTAAAATATTATTTGAAATCGAGCTCATATCCGTTTTTTTCAAAAACTTTATGATAACAAATATATAAAAGCCGGTTTCATATTTATTATATTTTAAAAAGTAGAATATTAATTTTGATTTTTTATTTGAAATTTTTTTAATTTAATTTTTGACTTTCTACACATTCTAAACGAACTTTTGAAATTTGAGTGCAAACAAATTTATGCAATATTTTATTTAAGATAAAATTTCTATTTGTTTTTTGAATAATGAATTGAGTATAAAAATTTAAAAATAAACGGTAAACATGGGTTGTAGGTGCATCGTGCATGTAATCTAATTAAGAGGTATAATACAAAAATAAATTCAAGAGACTAAAGAAGTTTGGATAGAAGTGGTTTCTATAAAAATGTGAAAACATTAATAAAAATAATTCGCGTAATATTGCGACTGAACCAAGATTGTGACGGATTTGGGGAGGAGACAATGCCATTTCACTCAAAGAATATTTTATATCCCACAGATAAAAAATACAACGCAGAACATTGAACGACTTTGAAGATCAGCAAAACGAAGGAACAAGGTGCAGCTTTTTCCATTCAAACTTGCCTTTTACTTATAATGCTTGAGAAAAATAAATGAATGACAGGAAAAAGGGAAATTAATTTGCATTCAAATATGGAGAGAGGGTTGTGGGATACTAATAAAGTACCCGAGAGTCAATTGTAAAATGAAAGTGTAAAGATTTAATCAAATTTAAAAAATAGAAGCATTTTGAATGTTAAATAAGAAAAATCATGAATAAATATAAACTGTAATCGTAAAAATACCAAAAATTCTTTAAAATCAAATGTCTCATCCCGAAATCAAAAAAAACTAAATAAGGCAATTCGACTCTTCCTCAGAGTTGAAGATCTAAAAATTTTAAATTTACATTTAGAAACATGAATATTTTGTTTTGATATTATAAAATGTTCTAGTTTACTTGAGGGAGCATATCCACGAACATTCGGAACTGGAGAAATTAAATTGCCATATTGTCCACGCTGTTGGCCTTTATAATGTTATAAAATAAAATAGTATATTAATCTAAATTTACCTCTAGGTACATTAGGCTTTAAAATAAAAGATTTTGGATGATTTGCTGAAAAATATTCAAAAATATAATTAGCTATAAATACAATTGAGAGAATATTGAGACTTGTGAGAATCACTGAAGACTAGTGTTTTGCCTTATTTTTAGCGAAAATTTTCTCGATTTTCAGTTATTTATAGACACGGATAAATAGAAAAATCAGACTATACCAGATCTGGATATAGTAGAAATCCAGACTAATTTATTATGCGGATTATATGACAATACTTATTACAAGGTCTCCAATAACAGGAAACTTCTATGACAATGAAACGAAAATGATTTACCTGGGCCAGCCTGTTCTACAAAATTTCCAAGTAAATCTTGTTCATGAGGAGGAGCTTTAAATAAAAGGATGTTTACTTAATTTACTTATATAATTAAAGTGTGTTTTGTGATAATTTTATGGGGTAACGGAATTTTGGTCACTGGAATTTTGTCTTCGCTGGAACCCAATATTAAAAAAATAGGTGACCAAAGCTTAAAATTCTTGGTTACCACAATTCCAGTTACAAAAATTCTTTAGACCACTTTTACGGCAATGAAATGTAATGATTTACCCGGTTCAGCCTGTTCTACAAAATTTCCAAGTAAATTTTGTTCACGAGTAGGAGCTTTAAATAAAAAATGTTTTTATATTTTATTTATATACCAACATGGGATAGAAGGTGGCACTCTTATTGAAGGATGCACAACAATACGTGGTGCATCTAAGTTTAATTAAAATTAAGAATTATATTTAATAATTATTAGTTGGGTTTATAAATTAAAAATACTTTGTCGGTGAAAATTTTGTTGAGGATTTGATGTTTCTTAAAGAATATTTTTATTAATTAATATAAAATATTTGAATGAAATTTGAATTTCTCACCTCCTTTTCCGCACAAAGTTAAATTAAATAAATTAAAAATATAAAAAAGAAAAATAACAAGATTTGACATGTTCATAGTTTAAAATTTAAAAATTGTTTTTAGAGCTTTTAAAAGCTAAATCTATTAACTATAAATAAAAAATATTTCTAATAAATCTTTGGGCAAGCCGGACGTTGGGCTTCGTTGAACTGAGCGCGTCCGCCCGATTAATTAAAAGTAACCCTCTCCTTTGAAACATTTATTAAATTAAATAAATAAAATACAAAAACATATGAGCCGGTCGGGGAGAGGACCTGGCCAAAATCACGACCCAAAACTGAGATGGTTTGGCGGGAAATGATAATAAGTAATTTCATGACAATTTCATTATAAAGTTTATTTAATATAATAAAGCTCTCGATTTTATAGCCCCGAATGATTATCAGGATTGTTGTGTAGATTTGTTTATGGTTGTGTTAAAAGATGGAATGAGTGTTGAAGTCGTTTACAGCCTCTCTTATAAAGCCCTCGCTGCCTGCAAGCTCGCGCCCATTTACTTCCTTATGAAAGACTTCCGACGCGTCTTGCAGGAGAAAATATAATGGGAAAATGGGAGAAATTCAATAAATACAAGAGTCGTAACGACTCCACAATCAATGAATTCTATATGAAATTGACGTGTATTTCTTTCTGCATCTAATAGAATAATTTCCGCTAAGTCTCTCGCTTTATTTCCCTCACAAGGAAATAAATTTCCCTATAGCAGAGAGCGGATGTAAATGAGGAAGTAAAATTAAATAGGGAGTGCAGAAAATCGGAAGTGTAAGTGTTGGAATGTCGATAGGAATGTTTCAAAATCTTGGCTCCAGCTCCGTCTCCGCTGAGCCGGCCCCGGAGCCATAATTAGCCTTGTGTACTCAATTTAGTTTCAGTGTATTTTTAAATTAGCGGAAGAAAAAAAGGAATTGAGATTCACGAAATAGATTTCATGTTTGTGGATGTC